ATAGTAGCAAAGTACTAGTAGTAGTGTTAGATAACCGTCGTATTAGTAGCAGTATTAGGAGCGCTTGGTAGTAGTAGTTATTAGTAATATTCGTAGTAAGTTGCATTAGTAATAGGAGTTGTAGTACAAGTAGCACTGAGAACGACTAGTGGTAGTGTTAGTAGTTGTAATAGTAGTATTATTGGTAGCATTAGTAGGGGTAATAAAGTAGTAGGAATAGGAAGTGTTTATTGTGGTGGGTGACACTAGCTCGTCTTAGTAATGGTAGTAGTTATTATAGTGGTAATAGGTCGTGGTGGTTGTAGGCAATAATATTAGGTAATTGTAGTTCCTGTATTGAATAGAATGCTTTGCAGTAGTAGTAACATTATTAGTATCAGCACAATTAATAGTATTATCAGTAGTATGTAGTGGTATTAGCAATAGGTAGTAGCAGGAATTTGTAATTGTGGTAGGTAGTAGTAGTTTGGCATAGTATTATTATATAGTATTAGTCGTGGTAGTAGTGGTAATAGGGAGTATAAGTAGGTAGTATCAGTGGTAGTTGGTGGTCGAAATAGTAGCAGATTTGGTAATACTATTAGTACTATTAGTATTGGTAGCAGCAATGGTAGCAGTACTAGTAGTCATAGCAGCTGCAGTACTGGTAGTCGTAGTAGTGTTAAAGAAGTAATGGTCAGAAGTTGTGGCAGTAGTAGTATTTCAAGTGCAAGTTGGGTTGCGATTGGAAGGATAGGAGAATCCCGTGAGTGTTACATCTTGAGTGGAAGTTTGAGCCGGGCATTGATTAAGTGCTCAGAAGTGAAAAAATGTAGTAGCAGCAATCGTCGTCGTAGTACTAGTAGTAGAAGTAGTAGTGGTAGACGCAGTACATGTATTATTACTAGTAGTAGTAGTAGTAGTAATAGTAGTAGTATTAGTGGACGTATTAGTAGTGGTAGCTGCATTAAGGGCTAATAAGCGAGTGGTGTGATAAGCGTGGTTCTCTGCGCTTGCTCGATGTAGATTAGCACATTGCATATGCCGTTTCGCCAATTGACACCATTGGTGCCTAAATGTCCGCTCAGCCAGCGACTTGTCATCAAATATTCTATAGACAAAATTTGTGCTTTGCTTTTTCTTAGCATTCAAGCTTATTTTCCTGCTTTTGTTATTTGTTGTTCATCTGGCGATGTATCGTGGCAACTGGATCCACCTTTATAGTTGCTTAACTGCACAGATATTAATGAAGGTGTTATGTTGCTTTCCATTTTTAATGAATTGTTGCATTATCCTATGGCTCTTGTCTAACCTAAAATGTCATTATGTTCTTTGAGCGCTCCTTCTTTTTCTATCGGGAGCCTCCGTTTTCCGTCTTGCAGTAACATTGTCCGACGTTCTTCTGGTTATGCAGCGGTTCAGTCGGGCTTCAAGAAACCGTGCCCTTTAATTGAGTTACTGATGCTTCTAGCCCCATCCTCGCATGATTTAGACGTCCCTTCATTATCCTGTTCCTCTTGCAGCCGCTCTCGGCTACATGACAGTGAAGCATCAGCGCAGTATTCCGCCGACAACATTTTGCAGTATTTTGCAAATTGACGTTTGGGTACTGCTTTTGTGCTCCTCAGAAATGAACGAAGGTTCAGACTTTGGGGGTATTTCTTACCATAGCACTCTATAGTAACGTCGTTCTCTTTATGTGTCTATTAGTTTCAGAATCTCAACGACGTATAGATCGTCTGGCGGAGCATCCAATGCTGCTACAGACTGAACGTAATATGATTCTTCAGACGAGCACGGCGCTTCGCCAATGTATTCGGCACCTGAGCCAAGCGGAATCGGACAAAAATAGTCATTCAACTAAAAAACCATCACGCTTCGGCTTCAATTCAGCCTCTGATGGAAGAGTTGGCCATGTTTCATCGAGATCTACCGGTTCTCACTCCTCGTAATCGAGGCGATCCTCGTCTCCGACTAAGGGCGGTTCGTTTAGGATTGAAGTTGTTCCGAAAACCTGGTGATCCATCTAGTTGTGGGGGATATATTGTTCTCAGTACCGGGAAGATGGGGAAAATTCTGCACTCTTCGCTAAAGCGTTGTCTTCTGTTACTCAATACTATTTCTTCGCCATCCTCAAGTTAGTCCCAATGCTTTATGTTTGTTACTGCTCACATCGTTTCCTCTATTCTTCATGTTTCGTCGAATTTCTGTCACTGTTTTTCGCTCACAGATGTCGCGGAGAGGGCCGCATGTACCACACCGAGATGGCGACAGTGGTTCACACCAATGATGTCCCTGTGGGTTTCAGACGACCGGCTACCTACGTCGACTTACCGGCAAACATTGATATAGGTCCCTTGTTTCACAAGGCCGTTGCTTCCTATTTGCTCCCAGCTGTCGGTTATGCTGACTATGTTATGCGAAGTGAATTTCGGTTGGAGTGAATACTTTCCTACCCACTAATTCCCGTTACCCGTAGCACGTGCATTTATTAGATTACTGGAAAGATTACGACCAATGGACAATATATGTTCATCATGAAGCCTTCTCACTCATTTCCATGTATTCGTGAACGCTGTTTGATATTCCGCCGGTGGCCGAAAAGACGAAGCGTCTATCTTGCAACCTGGAGGTCACCGGTTCGAGACTGTAGAGGACGAACCGGTGGCCCTCGCAGGATTCTTCGTCCACACGCGACTGGTGCTTATTGCATGGCAGCGAAGCCTCGGTATGGTGTACTGCTAACAATAGACTGTTACGGGTCATCTAGTCTCTCAGCGATTTGATTATTGCGATTAAGTTGTCGGCTGATTTCTGAGGCAAAATTACTTCGTAACGTGCGTTTGTGATTTCGGGCTGCACACGAGTGGATAGCGAAAACAGCATTGATCGAATCGGATTCCGGCTCAACTTCTACATCCCTGATTATATGCTTCCCAGCAAAACAATTCGAAAAACTGTTAACTAAGATATTAGATTACGAATGAGTAGACGGATTTCGGTATGATCCAAGTTGGTCCATCGAATTAGATAAGATATTTGTTGAGTCTGATATTCACTGAGCTTATTGGACACCATAACAGCTACGCAGCCCATCCGGACTACCGCTGTTTCAAATCATTTAGCGGTCCGCTACCTTGCGATAAGGTTTTTGAACCAACGTCTTTAGTTGAGAACCCTAATCGTTCTCCTGTCTAGGCCTGGACAACCTGACAGTATTCTGCCCACGCAATACAATGAACCTTTCCTCTAACAGTTTCTTGGTGCTCTGGCCTTCCCAGAGGATAATCAACGATGCCCTATCTGTTGCATCGAACAGCGTGGATAGGGGTATGGATGCTACTGCTCAGGCCTTCCCATTTTCTCATCCCATTTGCGCTTTTTCATCCTTGTCGTCCAGTTCCAAGTTTACCTGTATCCCCCCATTTTTAATCCCCCAATTCTTGGCCCTTCCCCAGCTTGCTTCAGTAGTCACTTGTCTTCTGGTTTCAACTCACACAGTCGCAGGACCTCGCTCCAATCCACTCGACTAGTCTATGTTCAACCAAGTGGACAACGTCATTTCATCCGTTTCCCTTTGGAGTCCTCGCGTCTCGCTAAGACTGGCATACCTCAACGTGCGCACTTTGCTGCAGATTGGCCAACAGCCAGTACTTGCCCGCATACTAGAGACCCTATCGATGGATATCTGCTGTTTAGCAGAAATCCGCCTGCAATATTCGAGCTCCGCGGTTACCCTGCGATCCCCCACATGGGACACTGGCGGCACATTCTCATTGCGCCTGTCTGACGATGATACAGCTTCAAATGCGGATCAAGCTGGCGTCGGCATTGTTTTGAGTCCCTGGGCTGAAGCTGCCCTAGGCGATTGGATCTTAGTGAACAATCGGATGTGCGCCGTAGCTGGTTCGTTCCAAGCTAAGAAGTCGCGCGGGGACAAACGGTGCCTGTTTGTCATTGTGGCTTACGCCACTACAATCTGTAACACTGACTCGGTGAAAGATGATGTCTATCAGTAACTTCACGATCTCCTTCGTTACAGAAGAAGCATGGCTACAGTGGTGCTTGCTGGCGATCTAAACGCCCAAGTCAGCAAATTCTCCTCTGATCGATTTCATCTGGGCGGCCAAGATGATCTAGGCGCCCGTAATGATAAAGGTGATCGATTGCTACAGCTGTGTGAAGATGCTCGTCTCTCGCGAATACAAACTTTCGACACAGTACCCGCAGTAGCATAACTTGGCGGTCACTAGCCTCGGGCCAGCCATGGACGCAAATCGATCATATCGCGATCAGTTAACGCTGGAGAGGCTGTGTCCAAAACTGTCGCTCGATTTGGAGCACGAGCGTAAATTCTGGCTACGCGCTCGTGTGTGCTGACCTGAGGGTGCGTTTCGGTGGACGTCCGTAACGTCGATATGAACGGGATTGACACCAGCCAGCTGGCGAAGCTAGGTGTTTTGAATGTGTATCAAAGTGCACTGACATCCGGCTGAGTAACCGCTCACTGAACACCGTCGGAGATCATTGGTAGAATAATTCTTCAAACGTTACTATCAGCCGGCATGTCTTCATGTGGCAAATCAAATTGCCAAACTGGACATTGGGTCTCTACACAGTCTCTTTAACTTATGGATGCTCGCCGATGAATTCCGGCTGGAAGCGAATACAATAGGCTTCGCAAAAATCTCTGGGCAAAACTACGTGCCAGCCTAAAGAAAGACCGCGAAGCCTTGTGGTCTCATTGTGCCTCTGAGATGGAAACAGCTGCTACCGTTGGCAATCATCGCAAGTTATTTCGTTTGCTGCGGAAAACAGGCAGCAAGAGACCTGATGTTAGCGAGACCATACGCGACGAGGGTGGGCAATCGATCCACAGCCTCTCAAAAACGCTTGGAGCGTTGGCCTGAACACTTTGCAAGGCAATTTAACCAACCTGAATTATCGCTTTCTATTTCCAGTATTGAGCGCCCTTGTCCCTGCGCCCTCTCCTTGGATCCGCCCTCACGCGCAGAAATCGAACGTCAGACCAGGCTGCTGAGATTGTATAAAACCGCGTGAGCAGATAGAATTCCCCCAGCCCTCTTCAAATTCGGGTGCTTTGCTATAAAAGATGATTTACACTAGTTGCTAGTGAAACTTCGGGAGCAGGAGACTGTCCCGACAGACTGGAGCCGCTCCGTTATATTCCCAATTTTCAAGGGAGGCTCACGTTGGGAATGCAGTAATCATAGAGAGATCAGTTTGATTTCCATTGTTTCTAAATTGCTTGCGTCTGCCATTCTCCACAGACTGACTGGCACACGTGAAAGCCAGATTCGTGAGGAGCAAGCCGGGTTTCGTCGAGGTCGTGGTTGCATCGACCACATCTTCACCTTGCGTCAAATGTTGGAGCACCGCCATATTTATTGGCGACCCACCGTTGTCGTGTTTCTTGACATAAAAGGCGCCTTCGACTCAGTCGATCGACGTGCCCTTTGGGACTGTCTGCTGAGCAAAGGTGTGTCTGATGAATATTAAACATTATCAAAGCGCTGTACGCGCATAGTTCGGGCAGAATGAGGGTTTATGGCAAACTGTCGCCACCCTTTATTATCACCAGCGGTGTTAGACAAGGTTTCCCACTGTCACCTTTCCTCTTTAACTTCGCTGTTGAAGTTCGCTGGACACGACCTAGAAGGTGTGAAGCTACTTCCTGGTGAGCGACTTCTTAACTTTTAGTACGCGGACGATATTTCCCTAATATCTGACAGCTCCCGGACATGCCAACAAGCACTGGACCGATTAACACTGGCTGTCAATCGTTTTGGGCTATGCTTTACTCCATCGAAATGCAAAGTACTTCTCCATGATTGGCAGGGACCCAACCCTGTGCTAACACTTTGTGATGATCAGCTAGAAGTCCTTCAGTAATTCAAGTACCTGGGCAGCGATATTAGCACTCGTGGGATCGAAGATGATATTACGAACCGTATAACAAAAAATCGAGGTGCTTTTGCCAATCTCCGCCACCTGTGACGCAGACGCGACATTACTCTCGCCCTGAAGGGCAGAGTTTTATAACAAAGCCGTCCGTTCAACTTTCCCATATGGTTGTGAAACCTGGCCCAGCAGGTCGACAGACATAAAGAGGCTCGTCACGTTCGATCATCGCTGCCTTCGCAGCTTAGCTCATGTCTGGTGGGAGCACGGCGTGAGCAATGAGCGTGTACGGCGTCGCATATTTGGTGCAGGAAGAGCGAGTGAACCGCTCAGCGCCATTATATCACGCACCAGACTCCGATGGTGGGGCCACGTGTTGCGCATGCCAGCACACCGACTTCCGCGACGTGCATTGTTTGCGCGCCGGGGGTGCGGTTGGAATAGAAACAAGGGAGAGAGATGAAAACCCTCACTTCGAAGTTGGCGTCGGTTGGTGCATACCGACTGCCAGGCTGGGGTCCTAAGAACGATGAACACGTTGTTTGGACACACTTGCTGATATGGCTAGGAGCCGGCCCCAGTGGCGTTTGTGTTGTGAGTTCCTTTGTCCATCCCCCTCCTGCTTAGCCTCCCCTTCTAATCACCATCGCATTCGTTAGGCATAACATAACATTTTGCGGCACGATAGCCGGCTGTTAGCTCTCCGGAACGATGTTCATCCGTTACTGGGAACTCAGCCGGCGTGCCACTGCATTTTCTCCTTATTGTCCTTTGTATTGCGGCACAAAGGCTGAGGTGTTTTCCACCTGCAGCTAACGCGTATAAGGATGATGATGATGCGAGGATTTCGTTTGCGACAACCATCCTATCTACATCTCTCCATTCTACGTGGATACCTACGCAAGAGGACTCTTCCCTGCTGCCCATCAGCTGTGATTGTGTGTTAACCGTCCCACTTTATTCTTGGAATTGTAGTTTTCACCGTTCATCAGCTGAGTCCTCGTAACCACAAAGTATGAATCCTGGTCTTTGCTTTCGTTCACTTTATCAGTTTAGGTCCGTGTATTGAGCTTCAGTGGATCCAGTTTTTAGGATCTACATCACTAAAATCATAATATCTATTTTTAAAACCATACAATCTTATGAGAAGATCCTTGAAACCCAGTCTCTACGCCATATTCTCAAAAGTACTGGCAATGCTCAGTCGTAAAGCCAATACCGAAAGGTGGTAACCCAAGCAAAGTGGATAACGACCGACCGATCTGTCTGACTGCAGTTTTGGCAAAGACGTTCGAGAAGATCGTGAAGAAGAGCCTTCTGCTGCTTCTCGAGTCAAAAAGCCTCTTGACGCCCGCACCAACCAGTCGACTTCATTTACATTGACTTCAGTAAGGCTTTTGACCAGGTAAATCATGCAATGTTCTTTGACAAGTTGAGGATGTGCGGTGTTGATGATTCGCTACACCAATGGATCAGGAATTTCCTTGTTGATCGAAAGTGGAGGGTCCAGGTTGACAACCATTTAACCGAATGGTATCCATCGAGCAGCGGCGCACCCCAGGACACTGTACTGGGCCGATTTTGTTTCTGATCCATGTAAACGATGTGCCTCAGCTACTCCAATCACCTTGTGCGTTGTTCACAAATGATTTGAAGGTGTGGAGAGTGATCCAAACACCCAATGATTGTGATTTGCTTCAGCAGGACCTCGATCGCCTCTCCACGTGGTCTGCAGAGGTCAACCCTCCGATCATCCCCGTCAAGTCGCAATTCATGGGGCTGGGTAAGTGTGAGCACAGCCGTACCTACACGGTGGCTGGTCAACCGTTGCATCCCGCGCCTTTCGTGCGCGACCTCGGTGTACTCTCACGCTACGACCTAAAGTGCATGGACAACACGAATAGGATTTACCAAAACAGCCTTCGTATGCTTTGGGCACTCAGGCTCAGCTTCAGCACTTGGTCCGAAGAGATTGCCACTCGCCTCTTCGTCTCAAGAATACGACCAATGCTAGAGTATGGCTTTCCCGTGTATTGTCCTATCACCCGGGTCGAGGTAGAAAAGCCTGAGAGAGTGCAGCATATAATCAACAGGGTGATTCCCAAGTTACGAGATGTACCGTACGAAGACCGGTGGTAAGAAACCAGGGCCGTACACCCTAGCTTATCGTAGACTGAGGGTTGACCTCATCATGACGCACGGGATATTACATCTGGGTGATTACCCTATCTTGAGACAACTGCTTCAACTGTGCAAACCAAGCAGCACACGAGGACACCGGTATAAGCTTGTCGTACCGGATTTGAAGCGGGTTGCTCACCAACTCTGTTTCGAACGCAGCTTGGTGAATGTATGGGACGACCTGCCACAGCACGTAGTAGAGGCAAACACAGTGTCGGAATTTAAGAAGTTCCTTGATAAAAAATTTGCCGACGCAAAATATATAGTGCGGGACACAACGCAATGAGTACCTGTCCATGAGCGACGATTGATGCAGCTACACAGAGCAAGCTCCACCCCCTGCTTCGAACCAGTAATCAGTAATCATCATACTGTCGTCACCTACCGGATTGCGACAGTGCGGTTCCTATTTTTACCATCACCTAGCAGCCGTTCAGTCCATTTAAACGACCGGTTTTATTACTAACTACCTACTCACCAGTATAATCTCGCGGCGTCTTAATCGTCTATGGAGACAGTGATGTATCATCTCATCTGTAAAACACATTGTGTACGGAACCGCATCGTGATTGGTTTTATTATGTTGACCAGATAGTCATTGTGTTTAGAAGACATCATCAGCCCAAGGATTCTCCGGTATCGGTGTTTGCAAAGTCTGCACATTTTCAGTGTACTTCATTTCAAGTAGATGGTGACGATCTGTACATCGAATCATAGTCGAATTGCCAAGATTAACTAGCACTGTGATCGAAGCCATTGTGCTCAAATTGGAAGTAAAACATCAGTGTACAAACCATTTGAACAACATCCAAAATGCTTGTGGTTCAGGAACAGTCAATTCACTGAATAAAGAAGTTCCGCGAACAGGCAGTCAGACATGCCACTCGAAATTCAATGTTAGTGCTTAACGGCTATGTTCCATGCGTCAGGAGCGTAAGCACGATTCAGTTAGCACGGCAACGAACATCCTGCGAGTCGTTCCTAACTTTATCGGACACTCACGGTTGCCCATCAAAGTCATGTGTATTCTACTGTATCTGACACATAAAGTTCATTCCCATAGTGTGTCACTACTTCGAGTTCGAATGGCATTTGTGTGTTCGATTGCAGTTGATTACACGTTTATTTCAGGAAGCCAAACAATCCAGTCTGGTTGTTTGCTCCATCACAACTACCATGAGGTTTTCGTCCTCATTTGCTCGGCTGATTGTGCCTTCTGTTTAAATTAGTGTTTCTCCATCTCTGATGCTACATTTTACTTGCTATGGCCGCATTTGTTCTGGTTCGCACTGCTATCTGAATTTTTTTCCGCATATGTCCTCTATTTATCTACTCACTCACGATCAATACCTCCTCACTTTCAGATTGTTCCATTACGTCCGGATTTTGTCATATCCCTTGAAATATATTGCATGCGTATTGGATTCGACTCTGCCGAGGACACACCTTCGATCTCATCGGCCGGTTATCCCACAGGCTCTCGGTCCGGACCAAACATCCCAACCACATCCATCACTCGTTCGGGCAAATCAAAGCGATTGGCTGCATTCACGTTTACACCGAGATGCACACGATCAAAGGAAGCGCGTGTGGATCCATCGCATCCGATCGTTCTACGCGAGGCTGCATCTAGCCAGTTCACTTCCTGTATACCTGCTTCTTACCTCGTCTCACCATCTCGATCCATAGAAAAGGTGTCTTGTCTGACTCAAGGAAAACTTGCAGGTAGTGAAACAACACTGCTACCATTACTGTACTCGTATTATTATCCTTCGTCTCTACGTCTTACGTCTCTCCGGTGTTCGGTTAGGCTCCGTTTAAAGAAATATTTTGTTCATTTCATTATGACCATTATTGTGTACTAAAAGGAATGGAGCAATATATCAACACTACACCGGTATCTCGCACTGCCTCTTTGATGTCACGTGACCACCGGCGGCTGTGTCCCCTGAAGACATTTTGTAGTCGCCTGCACCAAAGCAGATCTGAAACGATGATCTATGGACGAGAAGCCGGTCCTCTAATTCATTGTTCCACCAATGAAATGGCGTCTAAAGTGCACTAGATTGTAATGCTCAGATTAGTTCATCGGATTAACCCATTTTCTGTTGACTTCCTTTTTTAAGGAAACCTGATTTAATTAAGTCAGACTTGTATTGGTCAAATTGATATAAGCATAATAAGGATCAGGGTCTTATCTGAAAGTACAGTAAGAAAATACCACTAATTTTTATTTGAATGCATAATACCCATGTTTTAAAAAGTGACTATAGAAGTCAGTAGGAAATAGATTGAAGAATAGGACATTTTCGTAGAGTACATGCCGATTATGCCTGTTCGGCGTTTGTCCAGAGTTCTTTTACTCTCTCCGTAGGGTTGGAAGAAGCAACTATTCGCTTTGTAGCGGGAAAGGAATTTGTCTATTGCTGAAATCTGTTACAGGCGAGCCGTCCCGTCTTTTAGATTGTAGTCCACGCAACCTCGGGTAGTTAGAGGGTATGGCACGCGTCTCATCGGCAAGCTGCTTGTGTTTAGTATATTTTTGCTTCGTTATCTGTGGAGTGGGACAATGAAAGTGCTAATATCTTCTCACGATAGCTATTTTTGCCTTGCATTACTTTCATGGTATCTGTGCCTTCACTCTCGATGTCCTTCTAAGGCATTTTGGATTGGTTGTCTTTCTTGGGCTCTTCAGCGAACGGTGCATGAACTTGGCGACGCATCGTATAAAATAGTAGACGTTATTTCTGTGTGTGGTAGTGGCTGAATTCGGAAACCTTTTTCGCACCTGTTTGTCCAGGTTTGCACCCAGTGTTTTTAAAGATGACACCGCTAGGGTTGAATTGACAATACTTGTTGTTCGTATTGGTAACAGTGGGCTCAGAGCTATTTTGTCTCCCCTCGGTTATGTAGAAACGAGTCCGCGAACAGGTGTCATCAGCCACTTCGCACCAATCAGTCTGTTACTTGCAGTTCAGTTCAGTTCAGTGGAACAACCAGGATCCGAGCACCGAAGTGCGGTGGATCCAGTTGCCCCGACGCACATCGCAGTAATAGCAATAACTGACAACGTTCAAGTAGTGTGGTTGAACGCAAACAGAAGGTAGAGAAAACGGAAGCGAGGAGGAAGTGCATTAAAATAAGCAAAATGCAACAAAAATTGACAACCAGATGCAAGAAAACGAATGCAGGAATGCCACTTACTGCTTGACTGCACCATGTCTGATACAGTCGGCCGGCGGCCGAGCAGTCTGCACGCCTCGTTTGCAACCATAACTTCACCCGTTCGAATCCGCGTAGTGGTGGGCGTCCTCGCGCGACTGTTGGTGGTCGCGTGGCAGCGAAGCGCCGTTACGGCGTACAACTGGCGCTTATTTGTTACTTTTTTGTGTGGACCGTCCCGAGGCCCGCACTCATGAAGACGACACACCAAGCTGGCCAAGTCTCTCAATCAATATATTCGTCCCACTACGCCACGTCATGGACTGGTCACCTCGCGGTTTCACCCAACTTAGTGCAGCTACGGCCTATAATACACACCGTGGGAGCCGACTAACGGCCATACGGAGGACAAAGCTTTGCCAATGTAAGCGATTAAGCTTTAGCAAATATTCGAAAGTGGTACCAGAAGGCTTCTTGCCAAAATCAACTGGCGAATCTCACCATTGCTCTACCGATCTTCTCAGCAAACGTGAGCAATACTCCGCAAGCACTGGTGATCAAACACTGCCAAGCGTTTAATGTTTTCACTGCGAACTGACCAGGTCTCTGTTCCATACACTAAGACCGGTCTTACTGCATCGTTATACATCCTATCTTTCACTGACAGGCTGATATCCCGCTGTTTTCCTAGATGGTTGAATCTCTGAAAAGCCACACGGGTTTTGTTGATTCGCGAAGTAACTGCCTCAATGATCCGACCACCAGAGAAGACACGGCTACCAGGGTAAGTGAACAGATCCAAAACTTCCAGTGGCTGTTCGGTGACGACTGGAATTGGAGATGTGTCGCTCCAGTCCTGCAGCATTACTTTGCACTTTGAAAGCACAAAGCACATGTCGAAGCGCGGAGCACTACGCGTTTGTCTATCCAGTAGTCTTTGCATAGCCAATGCACCAGACCCAAGAAGATCTATATCGTTCGCAAACTCCAGTTTTGTTAGTCGGTCGCCTGGCAGAACTTAGAATCTACAATAGTCTGAAAGAACCGAGTCACCCATGATCCTTTCGATCACAAAGTTGAAGAATATATAGGACAACCCTACCGTACCCCACAACAAGTGAGGAACTCAGGAGACAGTCGGCGTTAGGGTCCACGGTGATTTGTCCGATGCCTTTTCAAAAACAAGTGGCGTTCGCCAGAGTTGTCCATTTTTCCAATTTTTGTTTAACTTCATCGTGGACTCCATTATGAGGTGTTCCCTTGATGAGCCTCACGATGTTGGTGTTGAGATGCTGCTTGGTGAAAGGCTAGTTGGTCTTGATAATGCGGACGAGATTGTTCTGCTTTCTAACGATGATTGGGCAGCGTACTCAATCTTGAAAACCTTTCTATAGTGGTTTAATCATTTCGCATTAGTCTCGTGCGTTCCTAGTGTAAAATATTGTTGCGGGACCACTCTAGATAACGGGAAACTTGATATAGTTGATCGATTCAATTACCTTGGCAGCTGAGTAAACAACAATGAGCGCATAACGATTGAAGTGTTCACGCATTGCAAAAGCCAGAACAGCCTTCTTGAACCTGCGGCATCTGGCGACAGAAGGAGTATCCCTCCGTCTGAATGGCCGTGTGTACTAGACCACAGTGAGGGCCGTCCTGCTCGACGGTAGTGAGACTTGGCCCCTTCGGTCTGAACATCTGAGACGCCTTCAAGCATGTGATCCTCGTTGTCTGTGTAGCATTACTGGTGTCAGATGGCACCAGGGTGTTCACAACGATGTGCGTAGTCGAGTACTAGGTAGTGCAATCATGCTAGCATCTTAGAACAACAGATGGCACTGAATAAGTTGCGTTGGCTTGGGCATGTACTGTATATTGCTGGTCACCGCTTACCGAGGAGGGCTTTGTTTTGAGTGCCAGATGTAGGGTATCGCAATACCTGGTTTATATATATATATATATATATATATATATATATATAACATCTGATTGCTGTCGGTCCATCACGCTCTCCAGGCTAGTGTTCATGCGTCCGCTTTGTGCTTGGCTTGAGACGTAACAAGACTTAGCTCAGTTAGCATCAATTGGCGTTTGATGCAGGCTCCTAGCCGGACTGCCGGTTTAATGTATGTTGCTGGATCATCTATGGGGTAATGACTGACCATGACGCGGGGCAGTGAAAGCCGCAATAAAACTCTCTCGCCGACGCCGTCGTAGCACGGTAGTCAGCTGTTTGTGATGGTATGTTGTTGACTAGGTGTATGCTCCTTGACCCTGGGTGTTTGTTTAGAGTATTAAAGTTTTACGCCAGGTCCCCCTCCCCTCTCTCTTATTATTATTATTTATTCCGTATGTCACCGTAGTTGTACGGCAGCGAAGCATTCGTTCAAATGTCTGATGTACTGCTATTGATGATGATTATGATGACACTCAGGCTAATCTTAGTTGTGCGCACCGTTTACGAATGCTTCTTTTCGATTCATTTCAATCACTTTTACCCGGAGAGTTTTCGGTCTTAATGGATCCCACCACTTCTCTCCGTGAGAAACACAGCACCTGCTATGCAGCCCAACACTTCTCGTGTGCTTGCTGCAATTAAAGGTTATACATTTGCTATTCACCCCACTGGTCTGCTATTCTTCAATGATATAAACGCTTTCTACACTTCCATTCCAATGCGCGGGGTTTCAGAACGAGTAGCAGCCCCTGTAAGTACAAAAGTTTGGCCACCTGAATTCGGGTGAAATCACTCTTATCTGATACAGCGGGTGAAGAAAGCAAATGCCTAACTAGTCCCAGAATAGGCAGAATAAGAACCGTATTTTTGTTTCTGTTTCTGTTTCTTTTCTTGTGCCGCAGTATGGGCGGTAGAACTAATGACGATAGGCAAAGTTAATCATATTGTTAAACTGCGGTTCTAGGATCGTACTTCTAAATGAAGCAATACAGTCGGCTCACAATAAATGTACAGTAGTAAATCCGTGTATCGTTCAAGCTGTAGCGTGTTAGCAATATGCATGCATGACCAGTTACATGTGAGTCGGGGATGCTGTTAGGTTACCCACGCCTACGTTAACCTGAACCGGTAAACCGCGGATCACAAGCCAGGAAAACTGCTAGGTTGTGCATTTTGAGTTCACAGTGGTGTGTAGAAACAGCTGGCAACATTAAATAATCAAACTTGTGATCTCTGTATCCTGAATCAGTTGGTAGTGAGAAAGACGAACAGTAATGCGGTCGGTGGTCTAACGAACTTCGTTCTTACATTGTAATGCTGATGTATCCAGTGCGGATCCGCGTCCTTACGGGAGATCTCGTGGTATACCCAGCCATCACATTGCTATATGTGCTCGCGTGGCAGCGATGCTTTCATGCTGTGTGCCTGCGTTCTGCTGAGGGTAACGCTCTGCTGCTCGGAAATCTGCAATTTAACGGGGTTCGACTCCCCGTCGAGGCATATTATTGTGCGCGAATTTTAATCGTGACTTCTACTTTCTATAAACTTTACCCTACTCACAAACCTCCAACATTATTCATTGTCTGTCAGTAGAATAATTGGTTTTTGTGAACTTGTCGGCAATCAGCGTCGGACGGTATCACCCCTTCCTCAGTTTGTTGGTTTAATGGTCATTTCCGATCTTTCCACAGCATTCACTTTGATATCCTCGGTGGACATTCCGTACCATGATGACCTGCTACTGGGTCGTCTTCGCACAGATGAGGATTCATCCAACTTCACCGTCACTGCGCATGATGAGGTTAATTCACTTCCACTTAGGCTGCTTCGCTTGCCACGATCCTCTCCGCTGACTGGTTTTGCCGGTCTCGTCGACTTTGCAGTCTCCCTGGAGGCACGTGTGCTTACTCGAGGTTTCCTGGTAAGTATTATTTTTTCTTTGAGGATCATGTCCCACAACCGTTATGTGTGCCGGGTTCCTCCGTCGCTGTTAATATTCCAAGTGCTCTGCCCTGCTAGTACCCGTGGTGCGATAGTTTTCTTCCAAGTTTAGCCTGTGTAGACTTCCAACTTTGATCCATTTTTTCTCTGAGTTAATCCAAACGATTACTTGTTTACCATAAGCATTGTTTATTTAACGTTTTTCATCGGGGGATGTTGACATTCCATTCTTTGCAATCTCAATTGTTAGACCATATTCGAAGAGGTGGATGGTTTGGGAGTGTGGCGTAGACATTGGTGTCAATTAAGAGCAGACAACCTACGATTTTGGTTTTATTCCAAAAACGGACAATCCGTCCAGATTACTGCTCCTTTGGGTCGCACCGATTTACAGCATGTTGCTGCACCGCGTGTTGCACCCGCCCCAAGACGCATTTGTGCTCGAGCCAACACCAAATTTATGCGTTCGATCCCAATGATTGAGCCTGGTTGGTTGTCTGCGTCTATCAATGCGAGTCCTTCCGGCAAGGATTCGAACAAGAGCATTCTTTTCCGCTCCTCTCCAGACCATAGATGGTTGGAACAGAGGTATGTCGAATTTTATGGTTGTTACGGTCCTGCGTGCACTTCTCGGTTGCTCCTTAGCTTCCATTTCGTCAGCTACATTACACTTTGTATCACAATTCGATCCATGTGTGCGTTTAATCTATTCCGATGGCTACTCCTTTGCGTGTATTTTTTCCCATAACAGGGTAGAATCTTACCGCTTGCCATCATTTGAAATTGTTCGTTTCCTTATACCCACTTTCGATTTTAGTTGTGTCGCTGTCTAGCTTTTTCTTGGCAATGAATCTCGAATGCGCTCTTACTGTGGATACGATGGTTTTGCGTTCTGTGCATTAAATCTGATAGTTCTCAACTCCACCTGATAATCATTCCTTTTCTGCCAAACATTTTGCTTTGCAAAATTCATTTCTCTTCGGCGCCTTCAACCTTTTTAAGCATAGACAGAGTCTGCCTATTATTGCGAATATGAGCTTTCTTGCCCATGCTTGAAAAGCTATTGAAGCCACTGGGGTCGTTATCTTCACTACTAGGTATCGATAACCATATCTCGGCTAATTAAGACAGCTGGTTTTATTCCCCTTCTTGTTTGGTGTTTGTGTAAACAGTCCGGGTTTACTGCACATACTCATCTGGCTCATCAGCCTTCCCATACATCTCCACCATGATGCTCAATCTGTCCTCCCTGTTTCATTTAGACAAAATCTCATAGTGGCTACTTTAGCAGCATTCGTATGTTTTGCCGGTGATATTATTATTGTCACACATGAACTGTTTCACATTTATTGGAGAAGGCTCAGTAAACGAAATTCGCATGTGTTGATTCAGTAACGGCAACCAGCTGTTTGGTTTCATTGCTTTGCGTATGCAGGTTATATATTATTTGTACACGTCAGCTAGAGGTGGGAAACACCTCAGCCACTGTGCCGCAATACATAAAGGAAAAGAAAAATAAATACAAAAGTCGCATGCCAGCTGAGCTACCAGCAACGGATAGGCATCGTTCCGGTAAGCAACCAGCCGGCTACTAGGCAAAAAGAAAAATTATTATGTTTTACGCTACGAAATGCGATCGTAGGTGGAGAGGGAGGCTAAGAGGGATAGGGTGGGACAAAAAAACTCACAGCACGAACGCCACTGAGGTCGGCTCCTTGCCATGTCAGCAAGTGTATCCAGCCAAACGTGTTCACCGCCTTTTGAACCCCAACCAGGGAGCCGTGACGACCCAACCAAGGCCAGCTCCGAAGTGAGGTCCTTCATTCCTCTGGACCAAGTCATCGCTTGGCCACCCCTTCTCTTCTTCCATCCAAATTCTCGGTCGTATGCAGGTTAGATGTTAGATGTTTGTTTTTCAGCGTCATTGATCTTTTCTGTGTTTGTTGTCCATTGGTTCGTTTGAGCCAAATCAGTCAACCGTCGAAATGCAGTGGATCCGGTTACCCTTATTTTCCTTTTATGAAATACCTTCGACTAATAAGAATCAGAAGACAAGTAGCAGATGTAGCATTGTATTGTTTGGTATAGGAGTCAGTAGCTAGAATATATGAACACTGTCAATTTCGCAGCCGTTTTGCTCTGGTGTTTAACTGCTAAGACATAAGCCAATCGATCCCATGAACTTCATCTAAGAATGCAGAATACAACAATTTATTTACATTTCCCAACTTTATCATTCCTGATCCTTTATTGGTACCTCACTCAAGTTGATTTCACAGTTTTGGCAAATTACGGACACAGTAATGTTCGATCAACATGTACCAGATAGTAATCGATCAAGGCAAACCCATGCATTTGACTCTGTTGATGTTGCACGTATTGGGTAACCCGTTTGTGTAATGCTTTTGGCATTTCATCCACCGCTTTACCTACCTCATTTTTTCGTCCCGTCAGACATTTTTTGAGTGCGGACACGGTTCAAGAGCGCGATTCGTGGATAAAGTGGTTCAAACTTTCTCTGGACGCTCTAAACGACTGGATGCCTGAGCATTTCGCTTGTCTCGCAGCGTACGATGCTCGTCTTGATTTCTCGCAACCTGTCTCGTCCAGTTTGTCCGCCTTGCGTATGCACGGTGACTGTCACTAAATAAGCAACCACCGATGCGCCCCATTTGTACCAACTCCGTTCACCCTCTGTTTTTCGCTTCCATGTTCGCTGTCAACAGCCTTTTCTGTCCACTATTTTTTTACACAATATGCATTCACGCCCCTCGTGTTCCCTTATTCCTTCTCACTGGTGGTCACTACTGGGCGGTTTTCGATGCCCACTCAATTGCCCAGAATTACCGGAATTGAATTTTTGTGATATTTTGCTCATGGCGCTCTTTTGATGTTTTGAGTAGCACGCCGACTATATTTGTTCTTATCGCGCCCGGAAGCGCCATACTGAATCCGTTGGGTGGCTGCTTAATTAACTTGAATTCAACATCTGATGGTCGCCGTCTGTTGATCTTTTCCAAAACCCACGCCACATCTATGGCTTTCTACTACGCAACCACCGCCTAATCTTTGCCAGCATAAAACCTCGTCAATCAGCGTTTCGCAGCTTTGCACTGCCTGTAATTCATTTCCGCTTTTACATTACAACTTTAAAACGCTAAACTTTCCCGCAGCATTAACAGGGAATCCACCCTGCGTTGGTATTGGTGGCGACCAACTATCTTGACAGCTGTATCAACGCATGTGAGATAACCTATAAAGTGACAAACCGTGTAACGAAAAGTTGAGGTTCTCCTTGTGGCATGGAATCATTATCACTCTGAAGGATAGAACGCAGGATGTAGCCGCCCGTTCTACCCCATGTATGTCTTTGTAATCTTACAAATCAGATCGATAGACCTGCAGATGCTATATAATTCTGGCTGAATCTGGTTCCGGATTTGCCTGTCACTGCGGCCTTCCTGATGACCGACACAGGACGCCTGTGTCTACAGTGGGACCATGGGTGACTTGCGCAGCATCACCCACTGCTCCGCCCGCACACCCTGTATCCATTGTAAGGACGGATTCATAAGACGGGGAGACATGTGAATAGGAGTCACGTCTCAGTAATGGAGGCGGCCCACACTTCTTCAACATGCACAACGTCAGAATTCCTGCCTACTTGAGGAGTCAGATGTACGCAAGGCGGTTGCTTGGCAGTAGTCCGCTCCACACTGAGTGCACGGAGGCATTCTTTGAACTGGCCTTGTGGTTCGTGGACGCGTGTTCGAGCCTGTTAAAGGGACCGGGTGACTCGCAATATCAATAGCCCACGCGCGACTGTTGGTAAGTATGCTACAGCGAAGTGTTGGTACTGCCTACCGGCGTAGTGTTAATGCCATCCATCGTCTTGATGCCATGTTCCACAGCTCCGTGTAAAGCCAAATGCGTTGCGATGACAAGATCATTCAGAATTCAAACGGTGAGACTTTCCAACCGAAAACGTTACGAAATTCATACCGACCCTTTATTCAACCGACTTCTCAATTTTCGCCCTTGAGACCTTTTCAGTTCAATGCAAACATCCCTCACAGGTTATATACTGTCCCAATCTATATTGCCTTATTGCGATCATTTATTTAGATTGTTAGGTATTTTCCACTATTCAAGCAAATGCTGAGAAAAAGAGTACAGGCAAATAAAACAAGCTAAACATTATTGTCAACCTTCTGTCTCTGGCTATAAAAGCCAAGATAATAAGGTTAAAGAGCCCATACCTTGAAGCTATGTTAAGAAACCACAGTTGCCGTGATCTGAGGAAGACTTTGAAGAAACCATCAAAAATTCCTGTAGTCCTGTAGATGTGAACAAGCTCATCGAACACACTCCCCCTCTCTTCCTCAACACTGATCCTCTGAACTTTTCCTTCCACGCTGTCGTCTACGTGGAACTCACAGGACTGAAGCGAAGCAAGGATAGTTGTCCAGATGCTCTGTCTGCAATCGCTCTGAAAGAGTGCAGATGCATTACAGTCACCGACAGAGGTTTTCAACCAATGTTTAAAGACGGGTACTAGATCCGACATCTGGAAAACAGCCAGAATAACACCGGTGCCGAAGAGAGTCACAAAAGTATGGGCCACTTGTTTACACCTCCGTGCTCTCACTACCAAACCTATTGCTCGAAAATAGAGTTCCTCCAAATGTGCGTGATGTAATTCGTGACTACTTCAGAAATCGTACATACTTCACGCAGTAATGTTGTTGAAGTTCTTTCGCAATCTTCGCTCATTGTGGTATTTTGCGAGGGTCTATCATACCTCTCTTTCTGTTCTGCATTTACCTTGAATGTCTGCTTATGCCATCCACATTCACCTGGCGGAAATACGCGGATGACGTCGTCCTAGGGTGTATAACCCCAGTAATTGACGAGTCTCCATATATCCAACGAGTATTAGATGAACTCGACTTCGTCAAGCTCCCAGTCTTTCTTCCTTAACTCTTCCAAGTGTCGTGATGTCACATTTGTCTCCCTCTACCCTGAAAGCCTGTGTTCCCTTAATTGTTGTCCCTGAATGACCTAAGCATTGTGATGGAGTTGTACAGATTTAAATTTCTGCTTGCTTACCCTTACAGTATTCAGTATTCATCCACCGTAAAGTACCTTAACATTTTCTTGCTTTACAATGCATACCGGTCGACTTTTCTAAGGATCAGAAATCTATCGTTTTGCGCTTTCATGGTCCAAGTGACCATCGTGCTCCGTGGTCTTATTCTAAACTTTGTGGAGTTTGGTTGTAGTGATCCCCTATTCTTTCCTCCGGAACTTTTTTTAATTATTATGCTCTTCTGGTGCTCTCACTGAAATTTATTTCCTTGTGCCCCTTATTAAGCCAAGAATCCTTCACTGATTCTATCGTTAGCAAATATTATGACGTATGTTCCAACTTTTCATCCAGAATTTTGAGTAACCTCTTATTTTCTACACACTGTTGTAGTATGATATCTAATTATTCTAAGTGGTCGAAAAGTTACATTTATCGTACCTCGTCCTATCTCAACTCCATCTTCTCCTATCTCTCCCTTGTTAGTCTATCCAACATTAATGATGCGTCAGATACGAAATCGTTTACTTGCTTGAAAATGAACTCACTGCGTTTTTCTCTACTGCTACTGTGTTTTATTACATTCACAGTGTTTTTCTAACTTACTGGAAATGCTCCCACAGGGGTGTGAAGCTTATCATGACTTGACTTGATATTGTGACACCGTAGCAAAGTCCGCTCAAATGATATTTGAAACAGTATATCTGCCTGCCGACACGCGTAACACCGCACTCCACTCCGTCGCACTTAGACTTGATGTTATCAAGCTGTGAAAAAATGTGTATATCGCTCAGGTCCTTGAGCCCCTGCCACTAGGCAACCACAGTTCTCATTGTCAATGTGGAGCTGCCACTGCGGCGTTCCCATGCACTGGAGCCAGCTTACAATCACAGCTGAGCCTCCGTAAGTTGATCACTTAAAGGGCTGGACAAAAGTGGTCAACATACGGATGAGTGGATCTATAGCGTTCGCATAGTGAGCACTCAAAAAATGAAAATGGTCGACTTTGTGAAGGTTTACTGTACCGCAAAATTGATGGTCTGACTTGAGTCGCGTGCCAATTCGATTGGTCTCTGCCGCAATTTACATCTGTTGAAGCTTGCTGATCAGTTATAACGAGCGGAGTAAACTCATCATGTCTTTGTATCTCAAATGTCGCAAACGCGAATCAGTCAAACCACATTGGTTAGACAAGAAATATGGTACACTGTCTTGGCCGCGGCGCAGACGGTAAGACGAATTCCTTCTTTGGCTCGGTTAACAATTGCGGGGTGTATAAAACAAACGACCCTTTAGCAACGTTGTGAAAACAAGCGGACATCAGCATTCGGAATACCGGTTCGTGGGCACCTCAAGGTCAACCCCAAAACATTTGCTAATTTGAAGCGGCGCCTGAAGCCGGCAGGTGAAATACCAGCAGTCAGATGGACAGCCCTTAACTGGTATGAATCGATCATAGTGACAATATACAAAAAGGGCTGTCGCACTGACTGTGCTAACCGTTGTATCAAGAAGGCAAAAGAAAAGCAAGATGTCTATCGGTACGCGATCTCAGAGGTGCACGGAGAGATAACACAGTACGCGGTCTGGTATCGATCGACAGGCTTCGAGCGTCTGGTAGACCGGCGAGGCTGACTTCATGATAGCGGCGCTGCGGCCTGGTGCTCACACAAAGTTTGAGACTGGGTAGCTGGTCTATGGGCCGCGTGCAATCGACGTGCTTTAGCAATTAGGCCGTTTTCTAATCAATAGGCCCCTGTACCTAGTCCCTGATCAGTTCACGACGGTACAGTTACCGCTGGGAGGCCTTTAGGCTAGCCCGTTTTTAAAGCAAACGTATGCTCCCGACTGCATAGGAGTTGACGATCTGGCGTAGGAATTTTGGTAACGTGCTATGCGATTTGCAACTTCTGCACGTCCCGCAGGTGACAGGTTATGTGCAGCACTTAGTTTGGTACGGAAGGGCCTTCCTAACATCTGCACCGCCGGCATTCTTCCAGCAGCCCTGTAATCACAAGTTCTGTATATAAATACAGTAGTTAAGACAGCATCTCCCCAATCCGACCCTCCTAATTGGATGGCTTGTATGGCTTCCTTGAGGAACCGGTTTGGCCGCTTGACCGCTTGACTATTGGCCGCAGGATTATAAGGTCCATTTCTAGAATGTTTGGTGTTTTGGAATCGGAGAAAAACTGTGAAGTTGTGGTTACAAATTTGTGGTCCATTCTACTTGAATATTTCTTCCGGTAGTCCGAACCGACTGAACAGGTATTCAGGCCAACGTAACACAACCGAGGTAGTCACTTGGTCGCAGATGTATACTTTAGGCCACTTAGTGTAAAAGCATATAGCAACTAGTAGGGTTCTGTTATTGGTAAGAGTGGTGGCAAAAGGACGCATAATATCAATGACGATCTTAGCCAATGGCTTCACCGGGTAAGCAATAGGCTGTATTGGGGATTCAACTGGCATGGAACTTTTGTCCGTTAAACAGCAAGCGTTACAAGTTATCACAAATGTCTACATGTTGGATGCTAAATGTAGTGTTTCGCTCGGTTTTT